CCTTGATCTCTGCATCCAAGCGTTTTTTGTGTAGTTAGTAAGCCATCGATCAGAACGGAATCAGTCTGTCGTCCAGTCACCCTTGGGCCGTAAACCACCCATATAACAAAGACGAGTTGACTTTATCAGTGTGTAATCTGTTTTCCAGTTTTGTTTATTGAAAAAGTATTGTAAATCGGTTCTCATAGCTCGGGTGGACTGAATTCCATTCCTCCGAGCTTGGCAATTTGTTTGCAGATGTTTCATCACCAGCCGAGGTGACATCATCAGTGCTTGTGAAGTTGCCCGTGAAGGAGGAATAGCTGCCACTTCATAAGCACCGATGACGTCACCTCGGCTGTTGATGAAACGCTTGCAAACAAATTGCCAATCTCGGCGAACAGACGAAATGGAGTTTTATCTGTCATCTATATGCAACATATACACACCGATACATTCAGTGATTAAATAGGATCGATGACGCGACCAGGTGCGGCATTTGTTGTTCTCGTGCTACGCATATGTCACTAACCTTCGGTGGACACATTCAGTTATCCCAAACTAACCTTGGTCTCACACTACTCATTCTATCCGGACAGTATGGCTTTTGATTTTCACAGTCATACGAGTATAATGAAAGTTTATTTCATGTTAAGACCTATCACACTTCATAGGCTTTAGTTCCAATCATCCGTTTATTCTCTATCGCTTGGTTTTGCGAGATTCAACGATGTACAACTGATCAAGGGATGTTTACCTACCTCTGTGTCTATAACAACAGTTAAGATATCGCCTAATATGAAGAATGAAATGTAAGCTGATTTGTCTTCGATGTCCTAAGATTCACGTTTAGCAAACCTGAATTTCCACACTATGTTCTCCATAGATTAGTGAGTTGGGTGGCTGAAGTGTAACACACAAAACAAATGCACGAAACTACAAGACTCATGGTAGTGCAAAGTGAACGGAACTCGCATCTACGATACCTTTCTGTCTGTGTTAATCAAGAAGGCAATTCTTTGGTTCATGATCAGCGGTCGAATGTACTTTTCATCGAATTCAAATAAAAAAGTTGTCTGCGCCCAAACAGTGCAGTTTCACCAACAGTGCCCCCGTTAGATGGATGGGATCGTTATGATCTGTCACAGTGGATAATCACAGCCTCCTAATTTGATAAACGAGACTGGCCAGCATCAATGCCCGCGGGAACATTCATTCTGTCCTAAAGACTTCCATTCATACGACATTTGGATTTCATCATGGTTACTTATTTTAATTTTTTCTGTCCTACCGAATTGGGGGAGAGACCAAGCTTCAAAATCGGTGTGGGCTGAGGGGTGTAAATGAAAATGAGTGCAAGATGTTCTTTCGGAAATTCTTGAGTAGTGCTGCAGTTCCAAACAGTGAAATGCTATCACTGAACTGGACCAAAGCCTACACTGTTCATAGAAATCATAGAAGCTCCATTCTGACATAGTCATGGAACATTACCCGTGAAGTGTGCACAAATACTGTACGCTCTTCAGCGCGAAATCTGGTGGTAGAAAGACATGGATGATGTTACAGTAGTAAAACCTGCTTATGTGCTCAGATACGCTGCCTGGGATATGTGATACGGACCATGGATAGGTTTCCTCGGCATATGCATTTGGGCGGATATCGGTAGATAGAGGAAATCCTACGACGATCAGCTGTGGAATTAGCCAAAGACAACAAAAAGCTTACTCGCGAGATGGTTATGTAAACCGGTTTAGACTACTTGACCGGAGTTCAAGTTACCGGTTGTCCACGATAGGAAAGGACAAGAAACACTCTTTAACAGTGGGTGGTGACATTCACATAGTAAATGCGTTTTGTCACCTTCCTTTTTACGCGAAGCGAATCGAACCCCGATAGCGGTTCAGAGTTCACTGTTATGTAAATCGCAGTGCCGCCTTTTCAAATCTTGAACATACTTCCAACCTCGATGTACCATAGACAGTCGACATTCTCTGTGAACATGAGAATTTCCTCCATTTCAAGCTCAATTATTGATAAAGTTTGCCTTCGCCATTCCCACACTGAATCCAATTCCAAAGCATGAGTGCGTAAACTTGTTTTGGATACTATGTTCAGGTTTATCTACTCAAATAGCAGTGTTGTTAAAACTCATTGGGTTGACAGTTCCGGTATTCTTCTTAACAGTCGTTCATAGACCTGCATTTTTCGCAGTGTAGTTAACTACAAAGCTGTCTTTTGTTCATTCAGAAACTAAAATATCCTCTTCCGACACCAAATTTTGTCGGAACAGGCAGTATGTTGCATGATTTATGTCCCGAACAATTTTGCTGTACTTCGTTCAGTGCGTTTCACAGAATTTGAACGAATATAGACAAGGGTTTTGTGCAGAGTAAATGAACACCTGTTTTGTACACGTGATTTCCCGCAGGACGCGTCAGTTGAGTTGCAGCCAAATCGTCCTGGATATGAATTGTGCCATGTTGCAACACTGATTGTCCGATCGCCAGATCGCCATCTGGTAGGAATTGAATAATAACTTACATATGATTTTATAAACCTTTAGTGGATAGGATCGCTCTCCTTGTGAAAATTTCAGCTATTGTTTTTTGGTGAATCCGTTGTTACTTTAACTTGATCCACCAAACGTATTATACTGCTTACCTTTATAATGTGATTGGTGCTTCCGCCATCAAACGTCACCTATTGAAACGGACCGATCACAACTCACCTCCATCCCTTTCTCATCCATTAAATCACCGGGTGACAATGGAGGTTTCAGTGGGAGTGAGGTTTGCCTATTTGTCTCTTAGTCGTTGATCGAGCACCGCTTATATTAAATAAAATTCGGTATCGACAATGTGTGGATCGATAATCCGATGACCATACTCAAGCGTAAATGTGGCAGATGATCGCCAATTTGCTTAAACAGTGATTGTTGAGTTTGGTTTTGTCGATCCGTGCAACTTCATTCTTATTGGTACCTGATGTATTACTTTAATTGCAATTAGTTTTCGATCCGAGTTGCTGATCGCTGTGATTGAGACTTATTTATCGTATTTGGGTTTTAGTATCACCCGCACTTATTCAGTAGGTCACATTGACTGATAATGAAGATTGTTCAAAGGTATTAGAAAGCTCGGCGAATAGGTAAAAACCTAATCTACTACATCCAAACCAATTTGGCTGTTTATGGAGAAATCGGTTCATTCCGAATGAACTGGTGTTGCGATAAACCTATTTCAATTAACAACACCTGGCACCCGAAACACCAACCACTTTAAGAGGGTTAACAGTAGAACACGATTGGTGAATTCACTTGAAATTCCAACTGATTTGCGTGAATTTACAGCATTTTCACTTGGATTCGCAACGGCTTCATGTGGGATTCCTGAGTTAAAACGGTTTAAATGATGAATTTACTGATGTACATCCTTCCATTGTTACTACCTATATGTAGCTCAAAAGTATTTGAAGATTTAACTTGGTTTTATGAGTCATGAATTACACAAAGGTGTTCCCAATACAACCGTGGCCATCTCAAATCATGCACGAAGAACGTCACATCCTTAGCTAAGTTTGTTCCTAGTGTGCTCCAAAATATCTACTAGCTTCGTCTTACATTGCATGCTATAGCTTAGCCTCATCTCGTTTTAAAGAAGATCTTCCAAATTGGGACTTGTGTTTTTCATTGTAGGTTGGTTAGCAAGTCAGGAAATTCTGTGGTCACGTTAAAATAATCGATTTTGCACTCATGAGCGCTAAATAACAACAATTACCCGTCACTGCTGTCGGGTATTATGATGCTCTCCCTGACGATGGTCTACTCCTGGATGGTTTTTGCTGTTGAGTGACAGTGAATTCAAACTCGAAGTACCGCCAGTTATCAATTCAGTGCCCTTGTTATATGTTGTTAGATCTCTGTTGAAAGATTGACAGTTTCTCTCCCTGACAAAAGCAGTTACCGAGACGTTTTTCATATTATTATGTTTGTAAATACATACTTGTGGTTGACATTACTACAGGAAATAAAAACACCTTGCCAGCCCGGAATTCGATAAAGCACACATAAATATTCCGCTCGAATTAAGACCACTCGTGTCGTATGGTCCTTTAATCGCAAGATCCAGAACAGAGAAACAAAGTTTCAGTGATCTATGTACATGAAGGTAGGTCGCTCAGCTTGAGGGGATACACTCCGGGAAGATATGCGATATATAAATGGGGTGGGGGAGTGGGAATTTGAAACAAGAAAAAACGTGAACAGAGTCGACGAGATTGTCCGTGCCAGTGTCGGAGTTGCACAAACAGAGACAACCCAGACAAAATCCCATGGACTCATTCACTAGCTCATCTCGGTCCGTAAAGAAACGTGTGTTCTTTTTCTTTCAGTTTTGCCGAATTCTACTCAATAAATGGGTAGCTTCGGAAGGAATAGAGGGCAATGAGTGGATGAGTGGAGGGATTTCGAAATGGGAAGATCGATTGTGAATGAGTGAATGTATGAATGAATGCATGAATAGATGGACAGATGGACTGGATTTATACCGATTCGCAAGAAGGAAGATCCGAAGTGAAAACAAACTGGTAGATAGGGTAAAAGCTGCAGGTCATTCTTTTTCGAAGTCAGATGAACCATATTGGAGTGGAAGTAGTCTGAGGTGTTTGGTATTCTCAAAATGAATATAGATCAAATGCTCACCCACATATGCGCATACATATATGTAGTGTATAGTACAAATTATTGAAGAAAAAGAGACAAACGCGTCTTCGATCGCGGTGGCCTGGTGGGTTTATCGAACTCTCTTGGTGACAGGCACTGTTCGTTCCATCCTATTTTCCCCTCTACTCACCGTATGAATCTCAGTGATATTTGGCTGAAGCACGTGTTTGTTTCTATGGCTGTGTGTGTGTGTGCGTGAGCGCGCGCGCGAATGTGCGTCTTATCGAAATCAAATTTTGAACAAACAAAGTTTTCGTTTCTGTCAGTATCATACCGGTAATTCGTGACTTGAATGAACCACTCATGTATGTGGATGGAACATCGATCCAGGTAGAATGGGCATTAACCAGTCGAGGAGGGTTTCCGCAAGCCAATGAATTCCGTTTTGTTCTTCAGCGGGCGGATGAAATATACTAAGCCATTGACTGAGCTTATACATCCATTGCAGTGGCCACGTGATGAAGTATGACAGGTTTGGATTAGAGAAGTAAGCAAAACAAGAGACCACCACATCATCTACAATAACCGACCCGGTATGAGTGAGAGGGGCGTATAACCCAATCAGTTCGTTGGAAGACCCACCCTGTCCGCCAGGGTCATCAATGTATTCCGTGTGTAGAACAATACCTTCAGAGAGGGACTGATTCGGAAACATGGAAGAGATCATAATGACGCTACCTTGTTGCAATGTGGATGCGAACACGGTTTTTATCTGTTCAGTAGGCCCAGGTTTGATGTAGATCAAGTGGTCAGGGGTAAGGTATAGCGACATATTTTGTTTTCCGTTTGACATGGGCGCATTATAGATCACGCGGAGCATTGGGCTCCAGGCATGTTCGTCGCGATGCAAAAAAGCTACAATTGGTGTGAATTCCATCTTGCCGGTGATTAAATTTTGGCTGAGGACGCGATCCCCAATTTTGAGTTCATCCACCCGGATCGATAGTCCGTTTTCCAGGCGGAATTTAGCTGATCTCGGGAAACATCCAAACCATTGTGAGGTGATGCTTGCATCTGAAAGTGGGAACATGGATAGAGTGATAATCAATTTGGCGTTTTTCAATAATGAACGATTTTACTTTTTGCTGATGCTGGATGCTCTTGCTATTCATCGTTGATGAAGTTAATGCCGATCTATTAATTCTGGTTATAACGTTATACTACTTGTACATATTGTAGTAGCGTGATTCTAGGAAGTAGAGGAAAGTGCGACACCTAATCACGATGTTGGACGGTTGAGGTCGGTGTGGTTTGTTGACTAATGAACCTCAAAGCGAATATGAATTATATTCACATCAATTTGGAATTCTTTAATAAAGAGGTAGACCTATCATTCATGCTGAAATTTCTCGTCAACACAGCAAATAATGGAATGCATGACAGAGAGGAGGCGAGCTCTGTGGTACTATTGAGACAAGAGATTTGAAATAAAGAATCCGGAAGTAAGACACACTAAAGTCCTTGACCACTCACAAATGCAAGTGCCGCATGATATGTAAGGAAAATTTGAGGGGAACCTCAGATACTCTATGGTATTCCGCTACTTATACTATAGTTCTTGAGAGAAGTATAAATTACATTCACAAAACAATAAATTCTTTTGAACTATCGAATTCGTCTCAATTCCAATCGGGTTCAAGTAAGACCCCAAATCTCATCTGTTTCAATATTTGCAGTTATGCCTCTTTAGGTGTCACTTTAGGGCAGAAATTGATCAATAACCGACACCAGTTCAGGCATTTTTGTCCCAGTGGCTGGTAACAGAATAAGAGCGTGGTGCTTCGGGTGTACCATCAACGTTACCTGATAGCAGTAACAAATTCATCAGTTATTTATTCAAATAATGGAACGCATGTTTCAAGAAAAAAATCGTACAATATGTTTATGCTATGTCATATT